CAACAATGAGGGGATTAGATCTATGTTGATGGAACAAATTCCAATACCAGGAGGTCTCCTTATGATTGCTATCAGATGTCCTTGATGTATTTGTGTATACTTAACTTTGGAAGTATAAAATTGTCCCTACCTATTTGGGAAGACAGCCAGTAGATGTTATTTGAATTTTTGTTATGTATAAAGGTCTGGGTTAGGTGCTATGATATGTCTTATTTTAATGGAAGACCTAGTGAAAGAGCAGGATATCAGATGTTAAAAACTGTTTTTCAGTAAGTCATCCATTTGTGTACATGTTTGGGCAGGGCTTGAGAAAATGACAGCTTTGTTCCCCCATCACTTCATACTGTCAACTCTGCATGAGAGACAAGAATGTGAATGTAAATTTCACAGAGGTAGCTGTTTGGCATAGTGGATAGAGCTCTGGACCTAGAGTTAGAAAGACCTGAATTCGAATCCAGTCTCAGACAAGGACTAGCTATGTGACCCTAGGCAAGTCATTTAACCTCTGTTTGTCTCAGTCTCCTCAAATGTAAAATGGGGATAATGATACTTTCCTCTCAGGGTTGTTGTGAGGATCAAATAAGATAATATTTGCAAAGTGCTTAGTACAATGCCTGGCACATAGTAAGTGCTATATAAATGCTTATTCCCTCCTTTTCTTCCCTTCTTCCCAAAAGGAAAACAATGAGGTGTAGTTGAAAGATGGCTGGATTTGGAGTGAGAATTTGGGTTTTCAACCCAGTTCTGCTATTTAGTACTTATATGACGTTGGACAAGTCCCCTTAACTTCTCTGGACCTCAGTGCCCTTAGGGGCACAAGTTTGGGACAGTTTCAGGTAAAGTTTTCAAATCATCAAAATCTAAATTATGAAATAAAGATTCCCTAAATTGTTTAATATTTTAACAATATGATGAAAATAATTTGATCTGAAATGTTCATATTCCCAGACACAGTAATTACAATATAGGGAAGCAGCATGGTATTATGGAAAGAGCCATGTACTGGGGGTCAGAAGCCCTGGATCCAGTCTCTGCCTCTGCCATTTACTAGCCAATTTTGAGGAAATGAACCTCTCTGACCCTCAGTTTCCTCATCTATAAAATGAAGTCTCTTGATTAGATGATCTCCAAAGTCTCTTCCATTTCTATTATTCTATGATTCTGTGGCATCAGGAATTTATTTTATCAGAGTCTTTCATATTAGAAGATGTTGCTATTACAATATTCCTATCAGAATCTAAAACTATCAATCTTTTCATACCCTATATACCTGAAGACTCTCTTGATATGTAGTTTTAGCCACAAGATCTGTCTCTTGCACTTTTGTCTCACTATGTCATAGCTTCCTTGTCCCAAATGCACCATTCTTTTAACTATTGCTGTATGATAATTGGGTCTGTGTGTTATAACTGTTTACTAGTACTCCTCATCTAACCTATCTTATTGTAACAATGAGAATGTTATAACCCTTGCTAAGGGATTGTTGGCTGGCCAAAGACTTCCTTGGGATTTGTAGTTCTTTTCAACTTGGGAAGAGAGAAGAACCTAACTTGCCTAGGGAGAGCAGGGAGCAGCTTGTGTCTGCCACATCTGTGGATCCCTCCTTTAGGAATGTAAGAAATTACCTCTTTCTAAATGGACAAGCTAGAAGGTATGTATTACTGTGTGTGTCTTCTGTTGAAAAATACATTTGCTCAATTTAAATTTCTTTCTTTAATAATATTTTATTTTTTCCCACTTATATGTGAAGACAATTTTTACATTTACTTTAAAAAATTTTTTTGAGTTCCAAATTTTCTCATTCCCTCCAGCAACCTCCCCGCCAGATAGTAAGCAATTTGATATAGGTTATACATGTTCAATCATGCAAAACCTATTACCGTGTTGGTCAGGTTGTGTAAGAAGACACAGACCAAAAGGAAAAAAAACACACATGCAGACATATACACACAAACAAAAAGTGAAAAATCGTATGCTTCAATCTGCATTCAGATTCCATCAGTTCTGTCTCTGGCAGTGGATAGCATTTTTCCTCATGAGTCCTTTGGAATTGTCTTAGATCGTTATATTGCTGAGAATAGCTAAATCATTCATAGTTGATCATTGTACAATACTGCTGTTACTGTGTACAATGTTCTGCTGGTTCTGCTCACTTCACTTTGCCATCAGTTTGTCTAAGTCTTTCCAGGTAAAATTATTTCTTATAAACAAACACCTGTGGTCAACTTTGCCTTTATATTGCTGTGTTCCTTTGTTTCTGGCTTGAAGGCACAATGGGAACTACACAGGAGAAAGGGCCCTTTCCTAGTAGTACCAGTCTGGGGATTCAGCCCCCAGTTGATGGTTAGAGTTGTGCTAACTGGAGGCAGAAGCACGAGCCATTTTATAACTGTTTTTCTAGGTGCAGAATCACTATAAATACAATCCCTAGGTTGAAAGAAATCTCAAGATTTGGCTCCCCCCACCCCAGGTTCCTCCCTTAGTGCCTACCTATCCACAGACATTATAATATAATCTATCCGGGCAATGAAACATTTATGCTTGGGTGACCCAAACATTTCCAGTAAACTAAATTTTGCTTCAACTCCAAGGAGGTGAGGAGTCAAACTAGAGATACATATGCATGTAAGTAAGGCAGAGGGTTTGGAGCAATTGTGATTGAATTCATAACTCTATCCCTCTTCCATATGAGAGCCCTTTAAACACATGAAGGCATCTATCATGTAATATTTCTTAAAGGCTCAAATTGGGGTTTGGGATCCAAACCACAGAGTTTTACCTTGAGTTATCTTCCCACACTCACTTAGCCCTGGTGAGAAATAATGATAGGTATTGGACCTGTGATTTCATTGACAGGGAGATTTTCAGAAATAATGATAACTTATATGGTGCTTTACTGTTAGATAATGTTCACTGTGCATTATCTTATTTGACTCTCACAAGTAACTTGTGAGGAAATATGAGCACCCATTTTATGGATGAAGAAACTGAGGCTCACAGAGTTTCAATGATTTGGCCAAGGTAAGAGTCAGAGCCTGTTGTGGACAGCAGCAGAAAACAAGGGGTTAAGCTGCCTGGCAACTAAATTACAGACCAGCAGAGGGCAGCTGAGCTGTAGCTATTAGCTGGGAGGGCAGGAGCAGTGGAGGCAGATCGGCAGCTTTGTGGAGGAGCTTCATTTGTGGTGGATGTTGTCATCCCTGAGAGAGCTGACTGAGCACAGAGGAGACTGCTAGGGGACAGCAGTAATTAAGGCATTATATCTCAGCACCAAACATAAGCACATCCTCATCAGAGGTTCCAAGCTGAGTCAAACCGCGGTGTGATACCTCTTTACTGAGTGTGAAGGGGAGTGGGGAACCCAAGGAAGCCTGGGCCCAGATCCAGTGATGTTAATCAGGAACTAGAAAGGTGGGTCACTGCCCAGCCAAGTTGCCTTATGACAAAAAAAGAACTGCTGTATTCATCCCAACTTCTTAAAGAAGGCATGGCTCCTTATCCCAGAATCAAGGATGACAAAACGGAGTCCAATGCTCACTTCTGTCCCGTCACGCTTTCTCTCTCTCTGTGGGAAGTAGGCCCCAGGATCTTTCATCCACTGTGAACATGATTCTTTCCACTCCCCAACATTCTCTTTTCTTATAAATCTTAGAACTGAAGGTGATTCAATAAATCATTTGGCTAAGCCCGTCTGTCTTAGAGCAGTAAAGGTATTACTATTGTCATTTTGCAGATGAAGCAACTAAGGGCCAGAGTGACTTGCCTGAGTCCTAACTGGCTTGTCCAGTATTTTCCTGGTACTAGCTCCACAACATCTTTCCACATCTGTCCTAATTCCACTCCCAACCCCTCATTACAGCTCAGTTAGACTAATACAAATGACCTAGCCAGTCTTCCTATCTCCATTCTCATTCTCTCTTTCATCTATTACTGCTATATTAATCTTCCTAGAGGCAGCTAGGTGTTGCAGTGAATAGAGCACTGGACCTAGAGTCAGAAAGACCTGAGTTCAAGCTGATCTCAGACACTAGCTGTTTGAGCCTGGGCAAGTCACATAACCCTGTTTTCCTCAGTTATCTCATCAGTAAAATGAACTGGAGAAAGAAATGGCAAACCATTTCAATATATTTGCCAAGAAAACCCTAAATGGGGTCAGGAAGAATTGGAGACAGCTAAACAGGTCTTCCTTCTACTCAGATCTTTTCAGTGGCTCCCACTTGCCCACCAAAAACATTTCAGACTTTTTCAGTGACGTTCAAGTCCCTTCACAATCTGGTACCTACTCTATCTTTCCAGCCTCATCTTAAACTACTCCTCCCCCTGCTTTGCACTTTTATCCCCGAAGCTGTCACATATTCCTCCAACACACTTAAAGCTTTTCCTACCCTCTCTCTTTACTCACCCTGTACTTTATTAATGGAATGCCCTCCTACCTTCCACATAATGAAATCCTAGCAGTCCTTTAAAGCCTCACCAAAATGTTACTTCTTTCATCAGGCCTCCTCATTCTGATCACAGTCTTTATCTCTTTGAATTTCATACAGTACTTTAATCTATATCTCTCTGGCTCTTACCATGCATTATTTCAACTTTATGTGTATATGTCTAATTGCCTTCTAGACTGTAAGTGGCATGAAGGCAGGGTCTGTCTCATCTAATCCTTGCATCTTTTCCCAAGGTTAGCACAGTGCTCCCTTCACATGGTAGGTGTTTAATAAATGTTTGATGAATAAATTTCAGGCATCATCACTGTCACTTCAGATTTTCTGAGCTAGCTTTAACATAGGGACAGAGATTAGACCTGTTATTTCTTTGATGCAGGAGACTCCCAGATGAGGAAACTCCTATTACGTATATGCCTCTGCAATTTATAGTTCTAGAAGGTGCTTAGAACACTAAGATGTTAAGTAATAATAAATAATAGCATTTATTTGACATTTTAAAGGGAGATAAATTATTATTTGCTATTATATTAATAACCAATTATTTCCTCATTTAAGGCCCAGCCTCTGTAAAAATCAATCTCTGAAGGACATGGCTGATTGATGAGATTGCCCTAACCCTTGGGGAACATGTTCCTTGATCTTAGGCTAGACCCTACCCAACTAGGAGACCTTCTATTTAGAGTGTAAACAGAATCCAGTCTGGGTGAGTTCTTGCCCAAAGGAAAACAGCTCCTGTCCTTGGACCCCTCCGTTGGAATTAGGGTACCCAGCTCATGAAGGAGAAAACCAATCAGAGTGGACTGAATGGAAATGGATTCCCCTGTCAAGATTGCTGGAGGTGGCTGAGTCTCAAGATCAAGTCATTTTCTCAGCAGGAGGAGCTGAAGTCTTCTAGCCCACTTCCTTATTAGATGTCCACCAATCAGAGTTGATGTTCATTTGTCAGAAGCATCCCCTTTTCAAAAAGTATGTTAAGTCTTTCAGCCTCTCCATGGTTATATCTTTGGTTTTCTGAGAGAAACCACTGACCATCGATTTATTGATTATTAGCTATCCTAATTAATAAACTGATTATTAATTACCCAGAAACTCTGTCTCTCAGGGGTTTTTCATTCATCACAAAAGTTTACAAAGCATTGTACATGTATTATCTGATTTAATAAGTGACTTGTCCAGGCTGACACAGTCAGTATGTGTCAGAGGCAGGACTTGAACTCAACTCTTCTTGGTTCCAAGTCCATCTTTCTATAGCACATTGTTTCTCAGTTATAACATAGATTTCCAAAAATGATTACTTCATCGACACATCATGGAGTGGAAGTGAACCTTGGTTCTTAAAGGCTAATGCCAGCAGAATATGAGCTCTGGCAGATCCTACTAAACTGAAAAGAATATGGGACTAGTGATGGATAGTATATTTATTGTTCAAGAACCAGCCTAGTTAAGTTTAGAGAGACTTATCACAAGTTTGCCACAGATGAATTTTTTGCCATGGCAACCCCCTTTTAAAAATGTTTATTTATTTTTAGTTTTCATAAGATTTTGAGTTTTAAATTTTCTCTCCCTCCTTCCCCTTCCCCCTCCCCAAGACAATATGCAATCTGATATAGGCTATATGTACAATCATATTAAACATATTTTCACATTAGTCATGTTGTAAAGAAGAATTAGAACCAAAAGGGAAAACTGTGAGAAAAAAAAAACAAAGAAAAAAATAGAAAATAGTATGCCTTGATCTGCATGCAGACTCCATAGTTCTTTCTCTGGATGTGGATAGCATTTTCTATCATGAGTCTTTTGGAATTGTCTTAGATCACTGCATTGCTGAGAAGAGCTAAAATAGTATGGCAGAAACTAGGCATAGACCAACATCTCACACTGTACACTAAGATAAAGTCAAAATGGGTACATGATTTAGAAATAAAGGGTGATACTATAAACAAATTAGGAGAGCAAGGACTAGTTTACCTGTCAGATCTATGGAAAAGGGAAGAATTTATGACCAAACAAGGGATAGAGAACATTATGAAATGCAAAATGGATAATTTTGATTACGTTAAATTAAAAAGGTTTTGCACAAACAAAGGCAATGCAACCAAGATTAGAAGGGAAACAGAAAGCTGAAAAACAATTTTTACAGCCAGTATCTCTGATAAAGGCCTCATTTCCAAAACATATAGAGAACTGAGTCAAATTTATAAGAATACAAATCATCCCCCAATTGATAAATGGTCAAAGGATATGAACAGATGAAGAAATTAAAGCCATCTATAGTCATATGAAAATGCCCTAAATCACTATTGATTAGAGAAATGCAAATTAAAACAACTCTGAGGTGCCACATCACACCTATCAGGTTGGCTAACATGACAAAACAAATATGATTGTACATGATAAATGCTGGAGAATACATGGGAAAATTGGAACACCAATGCATTATTGGTGGAGTTGTAAATGCATCCAACCATTCTGGAGAGCAATTCGGAAGTATGCCCAAAGGGCTACAAAACTGTTCATGCCCTTTGATCTAGCAATAGCAGTTCTAGGTCTGTATCCCAAAGAGATCATAAAAAAGGGGAAAGGACCATCTATACAAAAATATTTATAGCAGCTCTTTTTTTGTGGTGGCCAAGAATTGGAAATTCAGAGGATGCCCATCAATTGGGGAATGGCTGAACAAACTGTGGTATATGAATGTAATGGTACTATTCCATAAGAAATGATGAGCAGGCAGACTTCAGAAAAACTTGGAAAGACTTACATGAATTGATGCTGAGTGAAATGAGCAGAACCAGGAGAACATTGTACACAGTAATAGCAACATTGTGTGATGACCAAGTTTGATAGATTAGCTCTTCTTAGCAATGCAATGATCTAAGACAATTCCAAAAGAATCATGATGGAAAATGCTATCCACATCGTGAAAAAGAACTATGGAGTCTGAATGCAGATCAAAGCGTACTATTTTCTCTTTTTTTTCTTTGTTTTGTTTTTTTTTTCCTCACGGTTTTTCTCTTTGGCTCTAATTCTTCTTTACAACATGACTAATGTGAAAATATGTTTAATATGATTGTACATGTATAGCGTATATCAGATTGCATGTTGTCTTACAGAGGGGGGAAAAGAGGGAAGGGAAAAATTTAGAACTCAAAATCTTATAAAAGTGAATGTTGAAACTAAATATTAATTAATTGGGGGAAAAAAAGAAAATCATTTCGACAGCTATATGTGGGATGAATCAAAGTGAGGAGAGACTTGAGGCAGAGAGACCAATGAGGAGGTCCTTACAGGTAGTCCAGATAAGAGGTTCTGAGGGCCTGAACAAAGGTGGTAGATATGTGAGTGGAGAGAAGGGATTAGATGTGAGAGATACTTTGGACATAGAAACAGCAAGAGTGGGCAAATGTATAGCTGTAGAGTGTAGAAGTGTGAGGAATTATGGATTGCATCAATATTACAAATCTGGCAGACTGGAAGTATGGTAGTGTGTATGAAAAAACAGAGAAGTTTGTTAGAAGGCTGGATTTTGGGGGGTGAATAATGAGTTTTGTTTTAGACATGTTGTCTTACAGACATGTTATGTTTGAGATGTCCCTGGGAAGAGCAGTCCAATAGGCAGGTGGTATGAGTGGTATCAATTAATCAATAAACATGAATTAATTAACTGATATTAATTAGATGTTTGCTATGTGGCAGACACTGGTATGGCAGAAAGAAGGCTTGATTTGGACTCAGTAGAGACACAGGTTAAAATCCCTTCTTGGACATTCATTAGCTAGGCAGGCTATTTAACATCTCTAAGACTCAAGTTTCCTTATCTGTAAAATAGGCAAATAATTCCTATAGTATCTACCTCAAAGCTTAGCACAGTGTCTGGCATGCAGTAGGTGCTTAATAAATGTTTGTTGACTATTAACTAACTGACTTGCAGGGTGTCCTGAAGATCAAATGAGATCAAATACATGTAAATATTCTAGAACCTGGGAGTACTATGTAAAATCTATGTAAAGTGCTATTATTATAACAGTATATTTATATACTAAAGTGCTATGTATAAATGGCTATTATAATTTATTATGTTTGTTATATAAATTATTATAATTATAATTACTATGATTTATTGTTATAATAAGCCCTTATATAGTACTTCCAAGTTTGAAAAGCACTTTGCATCCTTTACATCATTTGATCTTCTTGGCAACGGTATTATTCCCATTTAACAGATGAGGAAACCTTTCTGAATCTCTAGTGCTATTGTTCTACTACTGGTACTATTCCTGGTACCACTGGTGTTATAATAAGGAAAGCTTTCTGAGTCTCAGTTAGGTGTCTTATCTATGGTCACATAGCTAGAAAATAACATTTTCTAATATTATTAATAGTAATTGGAGGGAGTTGTGGGGAGGAAATAGGAACACAATCATTTCACAACATCTTGATGCATGAACCAGGTAGAAATCTTCCAACTACCTGGAAGCCTAATAGTGGAAAGTCTCCAACTGCTGTTGAAGGAGAATTAAAATATAAGAAACTATGTAGGTGCAGGAATGGGGAACCTGCAGCCTCAAGGCCACAGGTGGCCCTCTAGGTCCTCAAGTGCGGCCCTTTGACTGAATCCAAACTTCACAGAACAAATCTCCTTAATAAAAGGATTTGTTCTGTGAAACTTGGACTCAGTCGAAAGGCTGCACCCAAGGACCTAGAAGGTTCCCCATCCCTTCCCCATTTTCTTTGCTAGGCAATGGGATTAAGTGACTTGCCCAGGGTCACATAGCTAGTAAATGTCAAGTGTCTGAGACCAGAACTCTGGTCCTCCTGACTCCAGGGCCGGGTGCTCTATCACTGCGCCACCTAGCTGCCCCAGGCACCCCACCCCTGATAGTGATACAATAAAGCAGAGAGTCTCATCTATTGTAACACCTGCTTGTCCTTGGTTAAGAGATACTTATGTAATGCAGAACATTATTTTACCATTTAGGTAGTAGGGCCCTTTAAGCCATGGAAAGCAGAAATTACTGCTTAATCTTGCCCCAGACCTCTTTCCTCCTAAATCTAAACAATAGTGAAATGTACTCTTGCATAGCTCAGCATAGCCCGTACCTCCAACGCAAATGGATAAGAAAGCTTGCAATAGAATTGCTTTAGATAATTATGTTTATACCAGAGACCAGGACACCTGGTCTGGTTAGTGTGATCTCTGACCTCTAATGATGGGGTGCTCAGGTGCTTGTGCTTGTACTTGTGCCCCAATTTCTCCCTAGTCTCAGAAACACTGTCTCTAACAACCACTCCCCAGCCCAAGGACACTGTGCCTAGCAGTTATTCATGCATGGGCCTCAGCATGACCCTTATCTCTCTCCCTGGTACAGCTACACAGAGCTGGGCTGCTCAGGCCCCAGCCCTCAGATCATGTCTCTGGAAGCCTCCCAATTCCTTAGTAAGTTCCTGTCTTGTGAGAAAGCTTTCCCTTGTTGCAGAGCATTATCTCATCAAGACAGAGGGAGAGGGGTGTGCTTGGCCAGCCCAAGGACTCTTCCTACTTCCAGACTCCAAAGATCCATCTCCCTCCCTGTCTGGTATACTCCCTGTACTTTCCCATCCATAGCCCTCAAAGACACCTGCACCTTTGGATTACCTCATCAGTGTTCCTGGCATTTCTTTCCCATGCTCTTTTCTATATAAACCCTAGCTTGACCCTTGATCGGGGCTGCTTGATTTGGGTGTGCATACCCCTTGCAGCCACATGCTAATAAATCCACATTTTAAATTACGTCTGGGTCTCCCTCGCTGATTTCTCAGTACAAAACTTCCAGTCTTGCTTTAAATGGTTCTCTCAACCCTGTAGTTTTGTTTAAAAGGACTCTTTTACAGTATCTAGTCACTTCCCTTATCTCCTGTCCTTGAACACCTTCTTATCCTAATAACAAACCCTGCATAACAAACGTGCTCCCAGAAGACCCTTTTTTTCTTTGATAATCCCCCTTTTCTCTACTTCTTCCTCTCCAGTGAAAAGCTTTGCTTGTCTATCCTAATTTGCAGCAGAATGCTGATCATTGACTCTGTACTCTTAAATGGGCCTG